ATCAGAGGCCTTCGTGACGCACATCTGTAATCCCAGCACTCTAGAGGCTGAGGTAAGGGGATCACTGAGTCCAAGGCCAGCCTGGGCTACATAGTAAATTCAAGCCCAGTCTTCTTTTTTTTTTTTTGGTACCGGGGATTGAACTTGGGTCCTTGTGCTTACAAGGCAGGCACTGGAACCACTGAGCTAAATCACGGCCCCAAGCTCAGTCTTCTTAACTACATAGCAAGGCTCTGTCTCAAAAAAAAAAAGGACTTTGAAATAATGTGATGCACACCTATAATCCCAGCATTCTGAGGGGCTGAGGCAGGAGGATTGTAAATTCAAGCCCAGCCTGAGTAAGACCTTGTCTCAAAATTAAAAAGAAAGGCTGAGGATGTAGCTCAGTCCAAAGGCCCTGGGTTCAATCCCTAGTATCTAAAATAACCTTTTAAGACATTTCAACCTTTTAAAACGTTTTATGTCAACATTTTGTTGCTACTTTTAGTACTTCTTTAAATTAGGAAAGAACTTAACAAAAAGCACGAGATGTGGTCGCTCCCACCACTTTAGCCAGTGGGCAGGAATCAGATGTGGCCTCTGGCTGGGACCAACTGCCCAGTGACTCTGCAGGCTGAGCCCAGGCAGAGCTGGGGACCCCCAGGCCCTCTCCCTCCCTGCCTGATTCATCCATCCACTCAAGCCTTTGGGAAGGTCCCTGTGGCCAGACTCTGGCAGTCAGCACAGCGACAGGATTTCAGCTGGCTCCTTCCTTTCCTCTGAGTGGCAGGGTAGAGGCAGGTCCCTCCCCTGACCTCCCCACTTCTGGTCCCTTCTCCCCATCCCTGCAGGCTCCACATCCACCCCTGTCCAGCCCTGCACCCACATCAGCCCAGCAAAGGCCCCCACCCATCTCCCACCACACCCCTCAATTTGGGTGCAAGGTCTTAACAGATGAGCACATGGGATCATGTCTTTTGAACAATGAGGTAGATAATCATTTAGCTACCTGTTTCCAAGTGCATTTTCTGAATGCCTGGGCTGGGCCCCAAAGATACTCTTACTGCATTCCAGGGATTAATGGTTACTTCCAAGTTGGGCACTGAGGGATAAATAGGAGCTCACTAAGGACTACAAAGGGGAAAGGTGTTCTGGGTAGAGCACTGTTTCCCACCTTGTCCCTGACACCTTCTGAGGCCAGGCCTGTCCTGCACCCTTGAAGGACAGTGAAGGCCCTTTGGAAGCGGAGTGGGAGACCCCAGGGAGAATCACATCCTCCACAGTCTCCCCAGGCCTGATGCTGGGATCCCCCAGCTGCCAAAGGCTGGTCAGTGGGTTGGGATGCCTGCGGTGACAGGGAACTCACCACCTCTTAGCCAAGGTTCCTGCTGGGAATGTCTCGCCATCCTCGAAGCCTCTGGTGGGCTCACTCACAGGACCAGGCCTGGCAGCTGTCCTGACAGCAGCCTCTATGCTCCCAAGGGGATCAGGAACCAGACAAGAGGACAGAGAGGACACAGCCTCTGAGGCCATGCCAGACTGAGTGCCGAAGCCAGGTGGGGCAGCCAGCCGGCCTTCCGCCCAGCCTCTTGCTTTTCTCAGGCCGTGGCTGGGAGGTGAGAGATCCGGGGCAGGCCTGAGTCACAGCCCTTGGCCCAGGGGCCATGTCAGGCTCAGGTTAGGTGGCATCGGGTGCCTCCCAGGCACTGAGACTCCAGCAGCCTGGACTTGCCCCAGCCTCCCCAGGTTCATGCCAGAGCAGGCTCAGGGACCCAACGTATGCCCTGGCAATCTGGGAGGGCTTCCTGAGGAGGTGAGGGAGAGGTCTTCCCAGTAGGGAGCAGGGACTATTCCTGAGTGTGCTACCCACCGGAAGAGGGAGGCATGGAGCCCCAGGTGCTGGGCCAGGCCCCATGACACACAGCTTCCTCACAGGCTGGCTGCATAGCCTGGCTGCTTGGGCAAGTGCCTGAAGGACTGGCCTTGTCACCACGGGGGAAGTGACCTCACTCAGGGAGTTTCAAAGAGGTCTCCCCATCCCCCAGCTGCCCAAGGGCCCCACACTGCCAGGCTCCTGTGCCGAGGGCCAGACAGCTGGGCAGAAGAGCTTGCCAGTGCCAGGCTGGATGTGTGGGGGGACCTAGTTTGACCAGAGATGCCTGTCTCGGCTGGGGGCCTCTCCCTGGCTCCACGTGGATGCCTGATGCAACCCCTCGGATAAATATTAGTAAACTTGGCTGGGACTGACGCTGTCTGACGCCACTAACCTGCCAGCCTGCGCAGATCCCAGCGCGGCTCCTCCGCATCTGAGAAGCAGCCCCTCCAGGCTTGAGGGCTGGCTGTTTCCAGCCCAGGCCTTGGTGCTATGGAGCTGCCCCTGGGTCTGGACCCCAAGGGCTGCTGTGTGATCCTGGCTGAGGCACTTGTCCTGTCTGAGTTCCACCTCTAGGGCGGCCATGAGGCAGAAATGAGGCCACACAGAGTAACCAGGCAGGTCACACTGGCCTCCCTGCCAGCGCTTCTCCGTCTCCAGCACCCATTAGGCCTGAGCCCTGCTGGGCACGCTGGGCACCCACACCCGCCAGCTCCCAGCTGGAGGCTGGGGGCCCTGTCTCCATTTGCTGGAGGATCTGGCTCCTGGCTGTCAAGTGGCTGGAAGGGCATCCTCAAAGGATTCTACTTGGGGCTATGTCACAGCTTTGCCTCCTCCTCACTGCTAGCCCCAACAGCCCAAGAAAGAAGTATCATTGTCCCCACCCTCAGATGGTCTGCCTGGGGGTAGGGACAGGGTCTCTTCCTGGCAGTACACCTTGGCATGTCCCCTCTCCTCTCGGAGCACCTATAAATGGGACAATCACTCCTCTGGGCTTTGCTAGGGTTAGAAGTCCTCTGTAGCCTGAGCAGCTCCCAGGGTCCAAGTGGGTTCCTGCTGGCTTGACCAAGCACGAGATCGGGAGGTCACACAGCTGTGGGGCTAGTCACAGGCCAAGCCAGGGCTCATCGGGACAGTTGACAGTGAGCTTTGCCTTGGCAGCCCCCTCCCCTGTGTACATTAGCTAGAGAGGCTGTCACCTACCTCCAGTCTTAAGCTTGTCTCCAAGGGGAACAGCAGAGAGGGGCCTGGGTGAGGTGGCAGGAAGCCCCTGAGGAAGGGGCTCCCGGCTCCCTTCTGCACCAGCCCCCTGTCCAAGAGTCCAGGCTGGCCCCTTTCCCATGGGGCAGTGAGTTTCCCAGCCTCCCTTGAGAACAACAGAGTTGAGGGCAAAGAGAGGGTCCTCGCTTGCTTTACAAGCTTCTCCTGTCCTCTTCTGAACCCCTAGCACTTCCTTCCTTCTAAGGGTTCCTTGGCACTTTCTCTTTTTCTTTTTTCCAAGGTATGTACTGTGGGTGGGACCCAGGGCTCTACCACTGAAATACATCCCCAGCCCACTTTTATTTATTTCTTTTTAAAATTTTGAGAGTTTCACTAAATTGCCCAGACAGGAGTCCAACTTGTGATCCTGTGCCTCAGCCTCCCTTAGTGCTAGAATTAGAGTAGTACACCACCATGCCCTGCTACTCTAGCATTTTCTGTCTCTTCTACTTCTTCCCCCACTTTTCTGTCCTCCCTAGGCCCTATTTTTCACCTTCGAGGTGGGATCAGAATGCCCATGTTGGGGTGTTCTCTGGGTTAGTAGGTAAAGGACAGGCACCATGCCCGGCAAATGCATACGGACTGGGCATTCAGGGTTTCCTGGGGAACACATTCCAGTTTACTCCTGGGGAGGATGGGGCTCCCTTCCCTTCCCCTCCCCTCTCTCCTCTGGGATCCAGCCCCAGCCAGGCACACAGTAGGTGCTTAGGCAATGCCAAAGGTCTGGGAGGCCTGGAACAAAGCTCCACTGACTGGTCCCTGGCAGGAAGGCAAGCTGGTGGGTCCTGGGGGCTCCAGACAGGGTGCTGAGCACCTGTCATGGTGGTTTCCCTGGGCCTCCACTCCCCAGAGGAGTCTCTTGCTCAGCCTCACTGCCTGCATCCCAGGCCCTGCAGAAGCTGAGTGAGAGACCCCAGGGAGAATTACATCCTCCACAGTCTCCCCAGGCCTGATGCTGGGATCCCCCAGCTGCCAAAGGCTGGTCAGTGGGTTGGGATGCCTGCGGTGACAGGGAACTCA